GGGACGAGTGGGAGGTGAGTGCTGGGCCGGGGCCTGCGCAGGGGCTGGGTAGGCTGAGTCTACGCCTCTGCGCCCGGGTGGCGAAGGGTGTGATAGCGACCCTGCTCTGTGTGCGCCAGGTCCAGGACTTGGCCACCGCGTGCGAGTGCGCGCGCGCGCGTGGCGCCAGTCACTGAGTCAAGGGATCTTTGAACGGATGAGAGAGCTTAGGTGTGACACCGCGGGACCAGAGCTTTTCCGCGGTTGCGGACGGAAGAGAGGGCTGGAGCCGGTCGGATCCGCGCGGCTTTTTCACTGTGCGTGCATTTGCAGCCCTGGGGAATGCCCGGAGAAGCCCTCGGCCCGCTGCGAGTTCCCCTGGTTCGGTAGCCCCTGCAGTCCCGAAAATCGATATAGTCCTTAGGGGACGAAATGTGCCAGAGAACACTCGCAGAAAACCATAAGAGTAGGGTTTGCAAATCAGAACTCCAAAGACAGCGTTTGTCTCACTCCTCCAGACCACACCTGCCTGTCCCTGGACTCAGCGAGGGTGGGATGGGCACTGTATCCCCTCTGGTTGTGCCATGGGAGGAGTCAGGTTGGAAGTTGCCCACCACAGCCCCATCTCTGTCCCGCAGCCGGAGGACGAGGAAGAAGAGGAACCGGCTCTAGAGGAGCTGGAGCAGCGTGAGGTGCTCGTGCTAGGGCTGGATGGCTCTGGGAAGAGCACGTTCCTGCGCGTGCTGTCGGGGAAGACACCGCTGGAAGGCCACGTCCCCACCTGGGGTTTCAACTCAGTGCGGCTGCCCACCAAAGACTTCGAGGTGGACCTTCTAGAAAGTGAGCAGAGACCCCAATCCCACCTCCCCATCACCACTGCTGGTCCTGGGATTACTGGGAAGTGGGTACCCAAAATGCATATCTAAGCAGAACACTCCTCTATATGAAATTTCTCCCACCCCTACCTGAGACACAAGATAAAGAACAACAAGCTCTGTATTCTGGCATTTGGGCCCTTAGTGATTGACAGTGTCCAATTTACTAGTTGCCTACTGTTCAGGACTACTGAAACTCACATGCCTAATCCTAACAGATAATGGGGTTCCTATTCCAAAGCATTTGACAAGCATTACATAATAAAATCTGCCCAACAACTCCACTTGGTACATGAAGAAACTGAAGCCTAGCAAGTTAAGTCATTTATCTGGTGCCACCCAGCTTTCTAGTGTCCTGATGCAGAATGTTGGCTGTAGGCCTTTACTGTTGAGCAATATGTTATAGTGCTTGCTCCTGAAGGGTAACTGCTGATCTCCTATTTCCTGTTCTTTTTATGAACTGTTCCTTCAGTCTAGAAAGCCTTCTTTTGACAAACTGCTACTATTCATCCTTCAAGTTTTAGTTTAAACATGACATCCCTGCAAAGCTTTCTCTGATTCCTCATAGGTATCTTGAAAACTTATTGAATGAATGATCAGAGAGGATTTTGAGGAGCCCTCGGTCCACTACCCTAGATTTTGTGGCATTTTGGAAGAGGATGGCAAAGAGGATATTGAAAGGGCATCCACTTGTGTCTGCCCTCACTCTCACCAAGCTAGACAAATAGATCTCCTCTCCACTACAGGACTCAGACCATTGAGGCTGTGTTGGTTTAGCTAAGGGTTAGGCATCAGACTTTGAAGACCTGACTGTTGGTTAGAGTGGTCTTTGGTCTCAGGTGTTTGCTCATTGGCCTGGTCTGGCCATATCTTTTCTTCCTAATCGTAGTGAACATTGATATTCTAGGATTCTGGTCCTTACACCAATGTTTCTCAGGCGACTCCCAGGGACACAGGTCAAAAAGGGCTCTTGACGGGCCTTGTCTGTCTGAGGTAATAACCCTTCTTCCCCAGCCCTGGCAGAAAGGGATGGTTGTTTTCATGGCACCTGAGGGTCTGACCTTGGACAGTCTGAACTCACTGGTTACAAACCCAGATCTCCCAATCCAGCCACAACAAACCTTCCAGGTTATAATAACAAACAAACAAACAAACATAACAAACATAACAAACAAACCAGGTTATAATGCCTGGTCTGGAGCCCAATAGAGAATGATCCCTTTGGGGATAATTAGTGACTGAATGAGTTCAACACTTTGAGGGCTCGTCCCTTCCCCCACCTCCTTTATCCAGTTTATTAGCTGCTGCTTTCAGCTGTGTCCTCAGAGAGACTGTCCATCTCCCATCTCTTCTGTTGCTGCCTGATACAAGCCATTGCCTTCTCCCCTGTCAGCAGCCTCCTTACTGGTCTTCCTGCTTTCACTTCTGTTCCCAAGATCAGCTAGAGCAATCTTTCAAAAACCTGCATCAGATCATGTCAATCTTGCCTAAATCCCATGGGGCCTTACTGGCGCTATGCAGCCTACCCTGGCCACCTCCATCTATGTGGTCTTCCTGGTCTCCCACTGCTGAAATAGTACCTCAGCCACCCTGGCCTTTCTGCTTCTCAAGCACACTGAACTTTTTCCCTCTGCCTCTTAACGCTTTTCTCTGTCTCTGCATGGCTAGCTCCTTATCATCATCCCAAACTCAGCTTGCATCTACCGTCTTGGAGAAAACTTCCCAGACTAATCAACACAGGGCCAACTACTCCCATCCCCAGCTACTTTCCTCTTTTTTTTTTTTTTTTTTTTTTTTTGGTACTGGGGATCGAACTCAGGACCTGGTACTTGTGAGGCAGGCATGGTGCCACTGAGCTAAATCCCCAGCACTTTCCCTTTTTCTATTTCCTTCCTTTCTGGAATGTGTGTTATTGCTGGTCCATCCTGATTAGGGAGGGAGCTCTTTAAGAGCAGGGCCCTTGCCTGCCTTGTTCACCTCTGTATCCCCAGCACCCAGATCAGTGCTTGGCACCTAGTAAGCACTCAGTAAGTACCTGATGAGTGCCTGCTATGTGCCAGGCATTGTGCTGAGGCTTTGGGGGGATCCAGAGGTAAGTACGTCTAACTCTTAAGAGTTTAGAGTTCACACAAGTGTCAGAAGCAGAACCAGAAATACCAAGATGCAGGGTGATCAATGGGGACTCTGCAGAGAGGCAGAGAGGAACGGGAAAGCAACTTGTGACAACCATGTGTCAGTGGATTGACTCTAGCATTTCCAAGGGAGGAGAATGGGGTGATAAAACTGACTGGAGAGAGGCTGTGGACAGGCAAGGCAGAGGGTCCTGGCTTTTCGAGGTTTTGAGACTCCTGCTTTTTTTTAATTACAGTCATTCCTAACCTGTGAGGGAGCTAAAAATTGGCAAGAGGCAAGGCAGCACAGGAGAACTGAAGGGTATTTCTAACCCGTGGAGCATCACACTGATTTTGTTATAAAGGTGCATAAACATGGATCTGTCAGATCCTCATTTAATTCTTTAGAATATTTCTATTGATGAGTTATCAATTTTAATTTTATGAGTTTTATTGTATTAACCTGAGTACTTAAAAATATCACAAAAATAAAATACTGAATTTTTAATATTCAATGTTTATAAAAAAGCATCAAAATTTTCAACAACTTTTGTTGTTATACAAAGTCTAAAAAAGAACAATAGAAATGTTTATGAATATAGGTTTATGAAACTTTTTTTTTTTTTT